CTCCCCAAACCCCCAGCCACTCCAGAGCAGGGTCCTGCGTGCCAGAGGCAGCTCCCAAGGACAAAATCACCCCATGCAGGCAGATTTTTCCTTATCAACACACCCAACCTGGGGTGAAACAGCAAAACCAATGCCACTGTGGGAGACCACAGTGGCTGCAGGACCCACACAGGGCTATCCTGCCACCCAGGGCAGCTCTCCATCCCAAGTATCTCCATGTGCAGGATGCTCTTCCCTCCTCTCTGAGCAGGGATGGGGAGCTCTGGCTCCCCTGCCTTCATGCTGCTCCCCACCCTTCCTGATACAATGTTCCCAGTGCTGGCAGGGGGAGCGTGCATCCAACTGCCTCCGCACAAGCAGCATGAAATCATGGCTTGCCGGGAACAATCGCTGGTCCCAGCCACAAGCACCACAGAAGGGAGAGAGAAGACGCTGGACACGGCAGCAGAAGCGAGAGGGAGGTTTTGGTAATGCTCAGGGCCTTAAATTTGCTGCTCCTGGTGAGGAGATGCATCCCGCATCGGCTGACACTAACCAGCGTGTCACAGCGGCACCACACCAATCCGGACCACGAAGGCTTTAAGGCTTCCAGATGATGAGTCAAAACTGCAGACCACTGCTCTGAAATACCACCCTGCTCCCTCGTCAGGGAGCCTGGCAGCTCCCAAGCCTCCAAAAACAGCCCAAGCTCAGCGCAAAACCACCTCCTCCACATGAATGGCCACTCTGCCACAAACATACCTTGGCACTGGGTGTCCTTCATGGCTGGCTCGTATCCGGCGGCACATGTACACGCTCCCACAGGTACCATCCACTCGCCGTCGCCATTGCAGTACAGCTTCAGGGGTACAGACACCTCCACCGCGTTGGGGATGCAGGTGCCCGGTGCGATGACCAGAGAAGTGGGCTCGGCCCCTGTTAAAGTCTCCGGGAAAATAGCAAAGCCAGCGATGGTGTTGGAGCATTTCTTGTAGAAAGCCCGGACAGAGATGAGGGACATGCAGGCTCCCAGGTCCTGGAAGGCCAAGTAAAAGCCATTCTTGGAGAGAGGGCCAAAGCTGCGCACCTTGGTGTTCACACGGCCAGACTCCAGCTTGGAGAAGCTCTCATCTGGAGCAATTGTATCCACTTTGATATAGGGGTTCTCCATCCAGAAAGGGCTGTTGGCAGAGGCAGAATCTGTATCTGACTCGTAATAGAAGAGGTTGAAGGTCTCTTTGCAGGAGCCGGGGATGTTGGGGATGCTATTGCAGTCCCGCACGGTGAACTTCAGCTCCACGTAGACGCGCTGGACGTCCTGGCGCTGGATGAACTTGGTGCGAAGCCAGTTGTTCTGGTTGGCCTCCCGCACGTTGCACACCTGGTAGGTGCGGATGGGGTTCATGGCCTCGTCGTAACCGCTGACTTCTTCCCACTGCGAACGAGAGGGGAGCAGGTCAGACCCCCAAATCAGTGCCACAGACCTATCGCAAATGGTGTGGGGTTGGGGGGACCAGGAAACAGGCAATGGGGAAGAGAAGCAGCTGCACCTCCACCCGTCCCAACCCTTCTGGTCATCAAGGTGACTAAGAGCAACCCAGGCCAGGCACCATGGCGCTCCTCTGCACTGGCACGGAGCAGGAGGAGATGGTTTCTTGAGGCGAGAGGATAAGGATAAGGAGGCAAGGGGAAAGACACAGACAGCTCCGCAAAGGCGCTGGCAAGCAGCCCTGAATCCCATGAGATTAGAGGTCAGAACCAGGCCTGGCTTCAGACTTACCCCCGTCTCCGGATGAGTTGTCCACGCCAACTCAGAGGTCACCCACTTTGTGTCCATCAGGGTCTCTGGAGAGAGAGGGAGGAGAGAAAGATGTAACTGGAGACGAAGGCCAAGATTAGAGGGATAAAAAAACCAACCCAGGAGGAGTGGGGGAGAGGAGAGCCCAGGCTGACATTTCTGTGGAAAACAGCAACTTGGGGGGTGAGCTGTGGTGGGAGGAGGGGGAGCGGCGCAGACAGACTCCAGATTTCTCTCCTCCTGTCAGGAGAACAGGAAGAGTGAGGCGTCCCCGGAGAGCGGCGCTGGAGCAGGGAAGCAGCAGGCCGAGGAGCAGGCCAGGTGGCGAGGGGGAGACGAAGATGGGCTGCTGCCCCCCGCCACTGCCACAGCCAGTGTGGGGGGGGGGAGGACGAGTGCGCCCCCCCCCCCCCCGCCGCTGCCACAGCCAGTGTGGGGGGTGCCAGAGGAGGGAGACTGGGCGCCCCCTGCCCACGCCCTCCCCCTCTGCTTTGGCAGGGCGCGTATTTACTGTGGCTGGGGTTGAAAGGGCCCGTTCCCATGACAGGGTGGTGCGGGCCAGGCAGGTTTATCCAGAGGAGGAGGGACTGGCAGGCTGCTCTCCCAGAGACGCCCCACATCACTCATTTTACAAGAGGGGAGAAGAATTTGACCGTCTGGCCAACATTCCTGGAGCAGACTACAAGACAAACCACCCCGGCAGCATTCCCCAAACAGCCCCAGCCCCAGCCTTGGGGAAGCGAGACGCTTGTCTGGGAAGAGCTGCAATTGCAGGCAGCTGTCGCTAATCCCAAGCAGAGCCGCGCAAGCTCTGCGCGCAAAAACTGGGAGCGAAATGCGAGGATGGAAAATGACGATGAGGTCCAGGCTGGTGCTAATGGCCCCTCTGTGGGCTGGTGGCTCTGGGACCCCCGCTCCATGGATGGCCCCGTAGGGTGCTTGAGGGGGAGCACGCACCCCTAGGGTCCTCTGGCTCCTCTCCTGCTCTAGGGGGGTTTGGAGCAAGGAGCAACAGACCCCTGCTAGCTGCAGTGTGCTCAGAGTGGTGCTGGCCCCAAGCAGGACCAGCTCCAAAATGCCTCCCTGCTGAGAGCATACCTCTCCCCAGCTGCAGACACAGCCCCATCGCAGACCCCCCTCAGTTCCCTAAGGGCTGTCTGTCCATCCATCCATCTGCCCGCTCATCCAGTCCCAAGATGCAGGGCAGGGAGCCATGGCTCTCAATGACCAGGGCACACGACCAAGGCTGAGCCCCAGAAGCAAGAGGCAGCTTCAGCTTCTTCCCTTCCACCCCAGGAAAACCACAGGTTGACCCAGTCAGCGAGGAAGTGAGGAGGAGGAAGGAAATGTTCATGATTTGGATGAAGCCTGGCTGGAGGTAAACACCTTCCTCCTGCATCCCATCCCAGGGTGACCTCCTGAGCCAGCACCCAGGGCCGGGCAGGGCGCACTGGTCACAAGTGCCACCGCGGCACAGATAAACACGCACATCTGGGACACGTGGGCTCTCCGACCTGCCTCGCTGTTTGCCAGCACCCCAGCCCGGCTGGCAAGCCTGCCCCTCGCCCAGACATTAAACACGCAGTCCCATCATGGGCTGGTGGCACTGGGGACAGCGAGGAAACCCCTTCATAGTGCCAGGTCCCCAGCTGGGAGAGGGTGACGGGGGCAGCATCTACAATAGAAAAGACAAACTGACACTGGATCTTGTTGGCAAACCAGGAGGAGCCCAGAGGTGGTTCTTGGGCAGCGGTGTTTCTCAAAACACAAGCTGCTGTTTCTCAAAAACACTAAGGGGCACACCCGGCAAAAACAAACGAGAGAAGGAAGGAGCCCTCTGCACAGTGGGTGCTTGTGATACAGGGGGACTTGTGATGAGAACACCAGAAAAGGGCGCAAGATGAGGCTGGGTACCCATAAGGCAACTTCTGCCTGATCCCAAAACACTGCCTGCCCAGGGACCTGCCATCCCTCTTCCGTTCCTCACAGCATCAGCTCCTGACCTGGCTGGAGAGCAGCTCCACACAGCCATGAGACCTTCCCAAAATGCCGCTGTGCCCCCCAGGCCCAAGGTGGGCTCCCAGGGAAGGCAGCTGGTGCCGGACCATGGGGTTGCAGAGTGGCAGCCGCCAGCACCCCTCCAAGGGACAGGACCAGCGCCGGCTGCAGGCCTAATAAGGGCAGAGCGGTGCCGTGCGAGGGACCAGGCACGCCACATTGGCGGCGGAGCAGAGCCAAGCACTGACACCACGCTGGGCTGCCAAATCCTGGCGCAGAGACCCCGTGTGGGTCCGGTCAGCCAAGGGCCCCGCTCCCTTCAGGCAGGGTGGGTGTTTCTGCAGGAGGGATGAGCGGGGAAGGGGAGCCCTGCGTGCCCAGGGCTGGGGCAGACGAGCAGTGAGTCAGGCTGGGGAGATGGAGATTTGGGTGGCAGGGTGTGCCATGAGTGGGATGGCACAGGGAGCCCATGGCTGGACCTGATGGCCTGGGCATCCCTGCTCCTGGGGCAGGGACGCGGCTCGGACAGAAGGCTCACTGCCTGCATCCTAATTTGGCAGCATCTGCCATCTGACCGGCAGAGGAGGGGAAAAAACCTGACAGAGCCAAGCTGGCTGCTAGCGCCAGAGCCATGTAAACTGCACAGAGCGAGCAGGGAGGGGAAATAATAAAATCACGGAGTGGCTCGGCTGAAGGAAACGGCCGAAAGCACAGGGCAGCGGGGGTTTCCTGCAGCTGCGGGGCCAGGGGGGAGAGTGGAGCTCCTCAGCCCCTCACAGACCACTGCTGTGAAGGTGAGGGGCAGACGGCCCCGTGCTGAGATAAGCCAACCACAGAAACCACTCTCTGCCCTTAAAACTGCTGCAGAGATCCTGTGGCACCCTGACAGCGAACCTGTGTCCTTCCTCCTGCAAACCAAAATGAGAGGACATGTGCTGCTGTCTGGGCATGGGGAGATGGGCAAGCACTGACTGGATTTTGGTGGTTCAGGACCACAGATGGTACCAGAGGTGGGCTTGGAGGGGGCACTGGCTGTTTCCCAGCTCCGTTCAGGTTTGTGGGTGCTTCAGAGGGATGTGAACGGCGTCAGGGCTGGCCGAGCAGTGAGTCAAAGCCACCTCAATCCCGCACGCCACAGTGAGAGCCTGGGCCCATTAGTCAACGGGAAATTGGCTCCCAATTTGACCGGCTTGGGGAAGTCACCCTAAGGCTCGCTTTATCAATGTCTGCAGCGCTGGGGTGTTGTACTCTCCTTACCTTCAGCTGGGCAAAGGCAAGGGATGCAGCAGGAGCCTTGCTATGCTCAGTGGGTGCAGCAGGCCATGGCCAACCC